GTTCTTCCGTGTTCTGCAAACCATTCATTTGCAATGGACCTGGTAGTGGAGAAACGGTCCCTTAAGGCCAATAATCTTAGGCGGCGATCTTCACGGCTGTTGTTCTACGGCGGCGTCCAGTGCCCCTTGCTCTTTGCATACGGCCTTCTCGAAGCCATGCCTGACAACACCTAACCACAGTGTCTACACTTCTTTGCACTCTAACTGCAATTGCCCGAAAAGAAAGTCCAGCTTCCCGAAGTCTCACTATACGGACCCTATCAAACTCACTAAGTTGACGAAATCGTACAGGTCTCCGTAGTCTAGGCATCGTAACCGATCGTAAAGGATGGCAAGAACCAAAATCCGCCAACATTGATTCTTTACTGCGGCTGAAATATTCATTTTTAGAGCGTTAGTGAATTAAAAAAAAGCAGTATAAAAACCGGAATGTCCAACTGATAAAGCTGAACATTTTTTCACTTGATATTTACAGTAAGATAAATACATTCACCAACTTTTATTAAAATAAAACCATTTAAACTGGGTGTTCGGATTTATATGTCACTTAGTATAACTTGTAACGCTTTATTACATACATTGGTATACTACTACTATACTCATACCATTCGTGAAGGTCATTTCCAACAACATTTAAAAATAAATATTTGGGCGGCTATTCTTGACGATCAGGTAATTGGCCCTTTCAAGTTACCCCCAAAGATGTCAGGCTTTCTAGCCAAAAACCTACCAGAACTTTTGGAACAGACCTTAGACAACATGCCAATACAACGGAGACAGAATTTGTGGTTTCTTCATGACGGGGCACCACCACACATTTTTAGAGGCGTCATTCAGTACTTGAATGGGCATTACCCAAATCGCTGGATCCTCCTGATCCTCGAAAATGGCCAGCAAGATCTCCTGACCTCAATCCGTTGGATTTCTGGTATTGGGGAGAACTTAAAGGGATGGTTTATGGGGCTGGTCCAATAACAACTGAAGCGCAACTTCGCGAAAAAAATTTTAATGTGGCTGAAATAATAAATTAGAGGACCTAAAGTAAGAAGAAACTGGGTTCGTCGTAATGGAGCTCTTGTGGAAAGTGGAGGACGACATTTTAAACACCTTCTTTAAATACAAAAAAGTGCAGTGTGGGTTTTAAAAAGAAAAACAATGTATGTATCAAAATTGTGTTCCCTATTTATAAGTGGATCATTATCAAATAATGAAATAATACCGAAGATCCAAAAATAACAAACTCCATCTTTATTTACACTGCGTCGCTTTTCTCTAAAAAAAATGCCGTTTTGGCCCCCATGTTCTATAAAACTTTTTGCTACTTTAAACCCCCTCTATCACCCATTTAAATAATGACCATCGTAACGTTTACACCCTGTACAAAATACAGTACCGAGAATCAAAAACTAAATTATCATCTTTACAAAAAAATTGTACTTTGAACAATTTGTAGTATACAGACAGCAGTGAAAAATATTTAGGGATAGATTAACAAGATTAAAAAATAAAGGGTACGTATTTATAAACATATAACATAATATTCATTTAACATTTTTCGAAAAAACATCATGAAATTAAGTGAGTGCTTAAACTTAAATTCAATGCAACACTTCCTAAAAAATAGTCAGAATGCAAAAATAAAATTGAAATACTAATTTCGAAGACGGATGATTCTAATTAGTCCATAACCACTACCACCATTACTGAAGCTGCGCCAAAATGTGAATTGTAATTGTGAAAAATTTCGGAAAGGAAATATTTTGCTTTTTAGATGATACATGACACTGATCTCCGTCGATTTGAATGTCCGCTAATTCCTGTCCCCTCTCTAACTCAGAACGTATGGACTAAGATTATGTCACAAGGTTACTTTACTACTATGCCAAGGTCAAAAAAGCTTTGTGGGTTTTGGAAACTGAACCAGTGGCGCCGGTGCTATAAGCAACAAACGAAAAAGAAAACAGGAATCACAAAAACTTAGTTTTTCGACGTTTGAGGTTGCGGGGTTATTTGTTTTGCAGCTTGGTCGCACATAGTTTCCATATACAGGGTGTTCATTTGAAAACACTCCATCACGGATTTACCGAAAACCACTGATAAAAAAAACGCCAAGACACATTGGATTTGTCATGGGAGAAAACTTTTTAGCCAAAAACTACTTCATCGTCGGCCCCCAGGTTCATTCTGTCAAAAAATTTTAATGACAAGAAGTATCGAGTGATAGCTTGTTTGAAAGGTCTTTCGAAGTCTTTCATTTTGATGTTAGATTTTTTCAAAATCAGTCGATTCGTTTTCTTGTTCTTCCGGTTCGGCAATGGCTAGACGACGAGTTTCCAGATAAATCGATAAGGCGAAGAGGGCCTATAGAATGGCCTGCTAGATTTCCTGATTTGACGCTATTAGACTTTTTTGTATAGGGCTATTTGAAATCTATTGTATTTACTCCCCTCCCTAAAAGTTTGGATGAACGTCGTCAACGCATCGATCATGATATCCCACAACCTGTTTTTGAAAATGTCCGTCAGGAATTTGAACTTCGCCTATATCATTGTTTGGCCAATAACGGGCAACATGTTGACCACTTATTCAAATAAAAAGTGCTATTTTCGCGAGTTTTTGTTTTCTATCTGAACAAACTGAAATTGAAAGACCTTTCAAACAAGCTATTACTCGATACCCCTTGTCATTTAAAATTTTTAAGGGGATGACCCAGTGGTTTTTGATAAATAATAATAATAATAATAATAATAATGATAATGCCTTTATTAGCTGCAGTGAGGCGAAGTTTTGCCAGACGGCTACTCTTACACTCAACCCCACAACAGGAAAAAAGAAAACTTAAACACATAAACAAAATAATAACATACCAAAAAAAAATACAATGCATAAGAATGACAACATTGATTGCACGAGACAAATGCAGATAGTATTGCGAGAGTTTTAAATTTGAAACAAAAATAGTAGAAAATAGTCAAACAAAAAAAATCACATGAATACAAGAAAAACTGAACTAAATGGACTCCAGCAGCTGACTTTTCATTAATTTCTTAAAAGAAACAACCTGTTTGGATCGATAGCCACTGTTGACTGCATTGTAATGCTTGACAGCATTATAGGTGTAACTTCTTTCAAAGACCGAGGTATTGTGAGGAGGCATGTTAAAATTAGCATTAAATCTAAGAGCTCTGGTAACAAAACTACGTCGGTGAACTAATTTGCTAGCGAGGTAAGCTGGTCTGTTAGATAATAGAACTTTATGCGTGAAGACGGTCAAAAGATATAAAAATAACTTATCAAATCGCAACCAGTTGAGTTTTTTGATTTTATCTGAGACGCGACTAAACTTGAGCAATCCAAAAATAAACCTACAACAGCTGTTCTGAATTTTCTGGAGTTTCCTTTTGTGGACGTAGTCTAAACATGGGTAATAAAGAACAAGAGAGTAAGAAATGACAGACAACACAAGACTTTCAGCGAGCTTTTTTCGGGTTTTAAAATTCAAGATGTATCGATTAGAATAGAGGAGTTTCAAACGCATAAACGTTACTCTAGATTAGAAAGAGACATGTCGATCGAATCTCATATTTAAGTCCAGGGTAACACCGAGATTCTTGGCGTAATCCAAAAAAACACAAATCCTCTGCTTCATTTCACGGTGGGAGTTCTTCGAACAGTACAACATTGCAGTAGTTTTATTAGGATTGATCTTCAAGCAGTGTTTGTTACAGTAATCACCGATGTTAGCCAAATCTAAATTAACTTTAAAAGAAACTTCATCAACCTTTGATGGATCGAAACCAAACACTAACTGAGTATCATCTGCATAAGTTTGCATACTACAGTGGACTAAACAGTCTTGTAGATCGATCGTATAAATCAGATATAGTAAGGGACCTAATACTGAGCCCTGAGGAACTCCTTAAGGAACTGGCTCAGAGGAGGAAATTCCCTGATCAGTTTCACTGTTTGTTGACGATTTAGCAAGTATGACTCAAAGAACCTCAGAACTATATCTCATATTCCATAATGAGATAACTTACTCAGAAGTATTTGGTGATTGACCATCTCAAAGGCTTTCTACAAATCTAACAGTACCAAGAAGGTGTTGATGTGATTATCTAAATTGTGAATGATGGAATCAGTAAGATGTAATAAAGACGAAGTAACTAGCCCTGAAACCTGACTGATGTAGAGGAAATAAGTGGTTTTGTTCGAAAAACTCCACTAGTTGTGAGTAGACAGCAATTTAGACTATTTTTGATAGAAGGCATAATAAGGTAATTGGCCTGAGATCCGAATATTGTTCTGGACGATTAGTTTTAGCTATTGGAATAATAATACCATTTTTCCAACTGGCAGGAAAGTAACCTGTTTCGAGACAGACATTAATAATGTGAGTTATATGGTCTATGGTATCAGGCAAACATAAGCAAACCATATTTAAAGTTAGACCATCAGAGCCACATGCCGTAGACTTAATGTGAGAGATTATATTGACGATGTCTTGCTGAGTAAGGAGTTTAAAAGCAAACATCCGGTGTATGGCGTCTATCGCTACAAGAGTTAGATACACTATCAATCAAATTTGGATCAGTTCCGTAGTGGGCAGTTCTCAAATGAATACCCTGTATTTGTCATTGAATCAGGAGTGTGAACTTTTTTCCATAGTTTGAGACGGAGTGATTTTCGATATACCGTACTTCAGTTTATAATCCTTTTCTTAAAATCTAAAAAGATCGATTTTTCACTACATGAAGAATTATATATCAAAAGTCGTAACGAAAGAGTCAACATTATAGACCCAGTCCAGTACACGTAAATTTTTGATTACAATTTATCTTTCAGGCAAAATGGAGCCGCCCGTAGGTTTGATGGACAGCTGTCCCAACAATCTCGAAGGATTCTCAGGTCATCTGTTCCTCACTCTTATAAACACTCTGGCGGCAATGAAATGCTCATTGGGCTCACCGAATCAGTATCCTGAGGACTTTGGACCAAACATTATGGAAGGAGATGCTTTCGACTTCATAGTAGTGGGAGCGGGATCAGGAGGATCAGCAGTGGCCAACAAGTTATCCGAGAACAAAGATTGGAGTGTTCTTGTGTTAGAAGCTGGAGGATATCCATCAGCAACTAGCGATGTGAGTTTTGTGAGATGATCGTAATGTAGTAGCTTCAAGAGGTGACTGCTTGTGGGATTCTAAGAATTAATAATTATTCATTTCCAAGATCCAGGACGTCAAACCTCCTGCAAAGTTAATTTTATGCCTAATCTCGTGATAAATCTCGAGCCAATTCCTTAAAATGTCGCTGGTACAGACGTCTCTTGAAATTGAAAGTCAATTAAAAAAGACGTTTTATAGAACAACTAATCTAGATCTGAGTTGGTTGAGAGTTTATCCTTTTTATAGGTTGAATTAGATTGACTTGTTTTTCATGATGTCAAGTAGGTTGAGTTTCCACTCGACAACGCTGTCGCTGTCGTGAAAAACATACATCATAAGTAATTGTGGTCAGTCTATTTAGATAATTATTGCACCGATCAATATGTTTAAATAAACATACTCATCAGAACGCCACTTTTCCAATTTGATGACGCTTGATTGGAAATAAAAAAATACGAACCTTTACGATGTTTTGATGCGATGAAAACATTGAAAAATACATCATTGATGTCTTGTCAACGTTTATTTAACTTCAGATATCTGGATCTTGATGCTTTCAGATACCAGCTCTGCTGTTTAGTGTGATAGCAAGGAGGATTGGCAGTTTCAACAACCTTTAAGATGTTTTGGGGCGATGAAAACATTGAAAAATACATCATTGATGTCTTGCCAACGTTTATTTAGCTTCAGATATCTGGTTCTTGATCCTTTCAGATACCAGCTCTGCTGTTTAGTGTGATAGCAAGGAGGATTGGCAGTTTCAAAATCAACAATTTTTAAGATGTTTTGGGATGATGAAAACATTGAAAATACAGCATTGATGTCTTGTCAACGTTTATTGAGCTTCAGATATCTGGATCTTGATGCTTCAGATACCAGATCTGCTGTTTAGTGTGATAGCAAGGAGGATTGGCAGTTTCAAGATCAACAACCTTTAAGATCTTTTGGGACGATGAAAACATTGAAAAATACATCATTGATGTCTTGTCAACGTTTATTTAACTTCAGATATCTGGATCTTGATGCTTTCAGATACCAGCTCTGCTGTTTAGTGTGATAGCAAGGAGGATTGGCAGTTTCAACAACCTTTAAGATGTTTTGGGGCGATGAAAACATTGAAAAATACATCATTGATGTCTTGCCAACGTTTATTTAGCTTCAGATATCTGGTTCTTGATCCTTTCAGATACCAGCTCTGCTGTTTAGTGTGATAGCAAGGAGGATTGGCAGTTTCAAGATCAACAACCTTTAAGATGTTTTGGGGCGATGAAAACATTGAAAAATACATCACTGATGTCTTGTCAACGTTTATTGAGCTTCAGATATCTGGATCTTGATGCTTCAGATACCAGATATGCTGTTTAGTGTGATAGCAAGGAGGATTGGCAGTTTCAAGATCAACAACCTTTAAGATGTTTTGGGACGATGAAAACATTGATAAATACATCATTGATGTCTTGTCAACGTTTATTTAGCTTCAGATATCTGGAACTTGATGCTTCCAGATACCAGCTCTGCTCTTTACTGTGATAGCAAGGAGCATTGGCAGTTTCGAGATCAACAACCTTTAAGATCTTTTGGGACGATGAAAACATTGATAAATACATCATTGATGTCTTGTCAACGTTTATTTAGCTTCAGATATCTGGATCTTGATGCTTTCAGATACCAGCTCTGCTGTTTAGCGTGATAGCAAGGAAGATTGGCAGTTTCAAGATCAACAACCTTTAAGATCTTTTGGGACGATGAAAACATTGATAAATACATCATTGATGTCTTGTCAACGTTTATTTAGCTTCAGATATCTGGATCTTGATGCTTTCAGATACCAGATCTGCTGTTTAGTGTGATAGCAAGGAGGATTGGCAGTTTCAAGATCAACAACCTTTAAGTTCTTTTGGGGCGATGAACCCATTGATAAATACATCATTGATGTCTTGTCAACGTTTATTTAGCTTCAGATATCTAGATCTTAATGATTTCAGATACCAGATCTGCTGTTTAGTGTGATAGCAAGAAGAATTGGCAGTTTCAAGATCAACAACCTTTAAGATCTTTTGGGACGATGAAAACATTGATAAATACATCATTGATGTCTTGTCAACCTTTATTTAGCTTCAGATATCTGGATCTTGATGCTTTCAGATACCAGCTCTGCTGTTTAGCGTGATAGCAAGGAAGATTGGCAGTTTCAAGATCAACAACCTCTAAGATCTTTTGGGGCGATGAAAACATTGAAAAATACATCATTGATGTCTTGTCAACGTTTATTTAGCTTCAGATATCTGGATCTTGATGCTTTCAGATACCAGATCTGCTGTTTAGCGTGATAGCAAGGAAGATTGGCAGTTTCAAGACCAATAACCTTTAAGATCTTTTGGGACGATGAAAACATTGATAAATACATCATTGATGTCTTGTCAACCTTTATTTAGCTTCAGATATCTGGATCTTGATGGTTTCAGATACCAGCTCTGCTGTTTAGCGTGATAGCAAGGAAGATTGGCAGTTTCAAAGTCAACAACCTTTAAGATGTTTTGGGGCGATGAAAACATTGAAAATACATCAGTGATGTGTCAACGTTTATTTAGCTTCAGATATCTGGATCTTGATGCTTTCAGATACCATATCTGCTGTTTAGTGTGATAGCAAGGATGATTGGCAGTTTCAAAATCAACAATTTTTAAGATGTTTTGGGATGATGAAAACATTGAAAATACAGCATTGATGTCTTGTCAACGTTTATTTAGCTTCGGATATCTGGATCTTGATGCTTTCAGATACCAGCTCTGCTGTTTAGCGTGATAGCAAGGAAGATTGGCAGTTTCAAGATCAACAACCTTTAAGATCTTTTGGGACGATGAAAACATTGATAAATACATCATTGATGTCTTGTCAACGTTTATTTAGCTTCAGATATCTGGATCTTGATGCTTTCAGATACCAGATCTGCTGTTTAGTGTGATAGCAAGGAGGATTGGCAGTTTCAAGATCAACAACCTTTAAGTTCTTTTGGGACGAGGAAAACATTGATAAATACATCATTGATGTCTTGTCAACGTTTACTTAGCTTCAGATATCTGGATCTTGATGCTTTCAGATATCAGCTCTGCTGTTTAGCGTGATAGCAAGGAAGATTGGCAGTTTCAAGATCAACAACCTTTAAGATCTTTTGGGACGATGAAAACATTGATAAATACATCATTGATGTCTTGTCAACGTTTATTTAGCTTCAGATATCTGGATCTTGATCCTTTCAGATACCACATCTGCTCTTTAGTGTGATAGCAAGGCGGATTGGCAGTGTCAAGATCAACAACCTTTAAGACCTTTTGGGTCGATGAAAACATTGAAAAATACATCATTGATGTCTTGTCAACGTTGATTTAGCTTCAGATATCTGGATCTTGATGCTTTCCGATACCAGCTCTGGTGTTTAGTGTGATAGCAAGAAAAATTGGCAGTTTCAAGATCAACAAAACATTGAAAAATATATCATTGATATCATGTAAACGTTTATTTTACTTCAGATATCTGGATCCTCATGCTTTCAGATACCAGATCTGCTGTTTAGCGTGATAGCAAGGAAGATTGGCAGTTTCAAGATCAACAACCTTTAAGATCTTTTGGGACGATGAAAACATTGATAAATACATCATTGATGTCTTGTCAACGTTTATTTAGCTTCAGATATCTGGATCTTGATGCTTTCAGATACCAGATCTGCTGTTTAGTGTGATAGCAAGGAGGATTGACAGTTTCAAGATCAACAACCTTTAAGTTCTTTTGGGACGAGGAAAACATTGATAAATACATCATTGATGTCTTGTCAACGTTTACTTAGCTTCAGATATCTGGATCTTGATGCTTTAAGATATCAGCTCTGCTGTTTAGCGTGATAGCAAGGAAGATTGGCAGTTTCAAGATCAACAACCTTTAAGATCTTTTGGGACGATGAAAACATTGATAAATACATCATTGATGTCTTATCAACGTTTATTTAGCTTCAGATATCTGGATCTTGATCCTTTCAGATACCACATCTGCTCTTTAAGACCTTTTGGGTCGATGAAAACATTGAAAAATACATCATTGATGTCTTGTCAACGTTGATTTAGCTTCAGATATCTGGATCTTGATGCTTTCCGATACCAGCTCTGCTGTTTAGTGTGATAGCAAGAAAAATTGGCAGTTTCAAGATCAACAAAACATTGAAAAATATATCATTGATATCATGTAAACGTTTATTTTACTTCAGATATCTGGATCCTCATGCTTTCAGATACCAGATCTGCTGTTTAGTGAGATAGCAAGAAGGATTAGCAGTTTCAAGATCAACAACCTTTAAGATGTTTTGGGGCGATGAAAACATCAAAAAATATACCATTGATATCTTATAAACGTTTATTTTGCTTCAGATATCTCGATCTTGATGCTTGCAGATACCAGCGCTGCTGTTTAGTGTCATAGATAGCAAGGAGGATTGGCGGTTTGAAGGTGAACAAGAAAAAGGCTCCTGTTTGGGTTTCAAAAATGAACGATGCAAATGGCCCAGAGGAAAATTTCTTGGAGGTAGAGAATACAAAATTTCTAATAAATATATCAGGAATACATATATTCCAGTCAATACAAATAACTCTTCATTCAATGTTGATATGGCTATAAAAAAAGTACAAGCATGAAGTCAAAAACAAAAACGTTATAAATTTTGCTCTTAGTTCTCTTTTTTATGCGGTTGTTTACTAGCTAGTGTTATTTATAAGAGTTCTAAACGTTTCTGACATTTTTTGGCACTTGAAGTTTATACATTATCCATTGTTGATTAGTGGATGGTGATGACAAAGTAAAAAAATATCGAGTAGATATATTGGCGTTGAAAGAAACATCACTATACTGGGCTGCGTTCGTAAATTGTTTGTACTCTCTCTTATAAAATGTACATTTAGGAGCTTTTATTTGGATCGTGGATACTTTTGATCTTCCAGTCAAGATCTATAACATGTCAATTTAAAAAAGCTCGTGTCGTCTACCTGATGCTGATAGATACTATTGAATTTTTTGAATAATATCGATAGCGTTTGTGGTATGGTTTCAAGCACATAAAAAAGCCCATAAAAATTGTTATGCGCTCTCGGGCTCCATTTTCATTTGACTATTTACGCTGGTCTACACAGTACATTATTTACTTACATAATTAACTTCAGTAGTACCATACCAAACTTGACAAAGGATTACCTGAAAAAGAAAATTATCATTAGTACAGGTGTTTCATTTAATAGGCCTATATCTTACTAGGTGACACGATGCCATAGTCCGCACTTTATACTATCAATACGAATGAACAACTAAATCAACAGACGTGCTGCCAGCGGCTACTATGCACTCATGGTCATGTCTCAACATGCAGTAACGTGCAGCCTCCTGCGTTCGTTTGTTAACTGATATTGCAAAACTTTCGTAGTACCTCTTGCAATTTGATCAAAATCATCATATAAGGGTCCAGAATTAGGGGACAGCTAGACAGGGAGACCAACAAATAGAAAGACAGTCTAACAGAAATGAGTGATACGGTTTTTCGTAATGTAACATCCAAATAACATATCTAATGTTTGATTTTTTTCTTAATAATACTTCCTCGCAAGTTGGCGGGGGAAGTAAAAGAAACTCTGGGCCAAGACCGAATTCGAATCGTGCATGACCACTTCTTCTGCTTGCCGGACCGATAGTAAACTCGTAATTCCATAATACCTGTATACTCCTTTGCCTAATTATTTTTTTAGGATGCAGCTCGATAAATGCGATGTTGTACGTGAAAGGAAACGAAAGAGACTACGATAAATGGTATGAAATGGGCAATGAAGGATGGAGTTGGGAAGATGTCAAACAACATTTCAAAGATAATGAAAATATTCAGAATCTCGAGTCAAGCAAAGAATATGGAAGAAATGGCTACCAAACTATAACATATTATAGTTCAGGTAACGTCGCCAATACGAATCGGAGGATCTCTAATGGAAACTGGGTCACTTTTTGTTTTCAGACGAACCAGTGAAAGAGTCCGTAAAAGCAGCAGGTACCGAATTGGGCTATAGATCTCTTCTTGAACAACAGCCCCAGGATCCTTTGGGATATATAGATGTTCCTCTCACTGTTGAAAATGGCGTTAGAATGAACGCCGCAAAAGCATTCCTAGGTAAAGCGAAAGATAGAAAGAACCTTCTGGTAGCCGTGAATGCCATGACGGAGAGGATTTTGATAGACAAGGCGACGAAAACTGCCAAGGGAGTTCAAGTTAGGATTGGAGACAAAGTGGTGAAAGTTTATGCGAAAAAAGAGGTTATACTGTCCGCGGGTGAGTAAATGCAGGGTTCCAGAAAATGAAGGACACTCCTGGAGTCTCAATTCAGCATTTAATTTGTTGATGAAAATTAGTTTTTTCGGGCAAAGTTCTTCGCAGTCATGTACTCCATCTCAACCAGCATCATTTTCTGTTAACACAGCGAAAAACAACATAAAAATTATTTTGAAGTTTGAAGATCAATGAAAATTCGTCTGACTTTGACTCGCTGTAGTGTGAAATAATCAAGTATGATGTCCGTCAATTGGTTCAAAGGAAATTATTTTTAGTCACACCCATAATTTTCTTTTGATTGCAGCTGTAATGGACAAAAAAGAAACACGTACTTATTCCGGTGTTTGCTATGTATTGTTCTTCAGTTGTTCTTTCTACAGGGTGGCATATATATATATATTAATGTATCATCAGCAAATAGTTGAATTTTGCAGTGTTGTAAAATAACATATAAAATAAATAGTAATGGGTCTAATTTGCTACCCTGTGTCACACCTACCTGAATGTTTTTAATGTTTGATAGTGTAGTGCCAATTTTTGTTCTTTGACTTCTATTGAAATCCATAGCAATGCAATTTCGATAACAATTTCTCCCTGTCAATAGTTTCAAATGCTCTCTTAAAATCCCAGAACAATGTTACTGTAATACTTTTTTTCATCCATATTTCGTCTCCATTCTTCTATCTATGAATATATATATATATATATATATATATATATATATATATATATATAACTTGAGACGTGGTCATTGTCGTCTAGACCAGTTAGGTGAAAAATTAAAGCTTCCGCCTTTTGTTGGGTACTTCGACAAAATTTAAGCAAAGAGGACTCTTTATACTTTTTTTAATTCTCTCTAGCTTTCAATGGACTTTGCCATCATCATCAGGAGCTGCAATTACAATGATAACAGTAGCAACAAAGGTGTAAAATGTGTAAATTAGAGCATTACATCGTGAAGCCACTTGATGATTGCACAAATTAGTGGTCATGGAATGATGAGTGACATGAAACCCTTTTAGAAGGCCGAAGGATGTCAATGTCAGTATTGAAAGATGGAACGAATTATGGGCGTGTGCCAAAACGTTGCCAAATTACTTCAGATGATGAGATTTTCAGAATTTTATGTTAGAATTTGTTAAACCGACCAGAGGCAGTTGAATAAACTATATTATTATTAATGGGAATTTAAATTAACAATTATTAATAAATCGTGAGGAGTGAATTATTATATTTTGAGTGGAATGAAATTTACTGGTGGAATCGGCCAAAACACAGATTCTAATTATATATATATATATATATATATATATATATATATATATATATAGGTGAAAAATTAAAGCTTCCGCTTTTTGTTGGGTACTTCGACAAAATTTAAGCAAAGAGGACTCTTTATACTTTTTTTAATTCTCTCTAGTAGCAACAAAAGTGTAAAATGAATTTAAATTGAATCAACTTACAGTAGTATGTGAGGATGTTGCTAATTGTTGTTTTCGTATAGGATGAGGGAAACGTCCAGTAATATGGTGAGAGCTGGATACATGGTACAATGGTTAGGATTATATAAAATATGACAAGACAAGTTAATGACAGATTAAAAATTATTTAGAAAACATTAGAGCATTACGTCGTGAAGCCACTTGATGATTGCACAAAATGGTGGTCATGGAATAATGAGTGAGATGAACCTTTGACAGAAGGCCGAAGGTTGTCAATGTCTGTGTAGAAAGATGGAACGAATTGTGGGCGTGTGCCAACGTTGCCAAATCACTTCAGATGATGTGATTTTCAGAATGTTATGTAAGAAATTGTTAAACCGACCAGAGGCAGTTGAATTAACTATATTTTAATTAATGGGAAATTAAATTAACAATTATTATTAAATCACGAGAAGAGAATTATTAGAATTTGAGTGGAATGAAGTTTATTGGTGGAATCGACCAAGAAACAGATTCCATTTATGGTTGTGAAGAGTCAAAATTTGGGGAGATATGTAAGTTCTCCAATTTTTCGCAGTTTAGCAAATATGAGTAAATGACACTCAGTTATTTAACATCTGTATTTTTGTTGATACAGTTGTTATTCATGAAAATGTGGGACATTTCCAGGAAATGAAAGACAGAGTCCCGCTGCTTGGCTTAACCAACACAGTCTACTCCATCAATTGCAACAACTGCAACCAAATATACATTCGAATTCGTTCCATCTTTCAACACAGACATTGACAACCTTCGGCCTTCTGTCAAAGGTTCATCTCACTCATTATTCCATGACCACCATTTTGTGCAATCATCAAGTGGCTTCACGACGTAATGCTCTAATGTTTTCTAAATAATTTTTAATCTGTCATTAACTTGTCATATTTTATATAATTTTAACCATTGTACCATGTATCCAGCTCTCACCATATTACTGGACGTTTCCCTCATCCTATACGAAAACAACAATTAGCAACATCCTCACATACTACTGTAAGTTGATTCAATTTAAATTCATTTTACACTTTTGTTGCTACTGTTATCATTGTAATTGCAGCTCCTGATGATGATGGCAAAGTCCATTGAAAGCTAGAGAGAATTAAAAAAAATATAAAGAGTCCTCTTTGCTTAAATTTTGTCGAAGTACCCAACAAAAAGCGGAAGCTTTAATTTTTCACCTAACTGGTCTAGACGACAATGACCACGTCTCAAGTTATATACATATATATATTTTTTCTTAAATTATTCAATGCATTGTTCATATATGATTCCTTCTAATGCAGATACTTGTTTCAGGATCCACCAATTCGCCACATTTACTGATGGTATCCGGTGTCGGTCCTGAGGCTCATCTCCAAGCACAAGGCATTGATGTCATCCAAGACCTTCCTGGTGTAGGGCAAAATCTCCAGGACCACCTCAACTTTTTCGGTTTCTTCGTCAAACTAGATCATAACGCAGAAAAGCCACATTCTCCACTAACGAATCTAGATGCAGTTTACGAGTACTTTACGCGTAGGACAGGGGCAATGGCGGGCATATCAATAACAAATCTGATCGGATTCATAAACACGAAAAATGATTCGAAGTATCCTAACGTACAGCTACATCATATGCTACTCAGGTCGGCAGATCCTTATCTCCTACCAGCATTTTCTAAGGTATTTATTTATCGAGGAGCATACAGGGTGTACCTTAATAATATGCGAATATTTAAGGGTGTAAATCTACATGGAAAATTAATGTTAGTTTGCTTTAGAAACTATGGTCCAAAAATGTTTCCTTACAAAAACTCGGGGTGTTGAAGTTTTAGGAAAAAATGGAAATTAATTAATATTTTCAGAACCGCTTCAGATATTTCACTGCTATTTAGTACGTAGTATAATTTTTAGCTTTAACAGTGGCGCGCGTACGGGTATTGACATCGATATTTTTTAACAAAAAAATGGTACGCCAATCGTTTTATTCCAAATAAAAATTATTTTTGAATTCCCCGTTCAATTTAAAACAAATGATCTCTGTTGAATTGTTTTCCTTAGATGCGCCATTTTTGAGTATAAAAATAAAAACCGTTCTATTGTCTAACTTGCAAAATTATTATTAATTTAATTGGAAAAATTGAATACATTACTGACTGACAACATAAATATAACATTAAAACCAACGAAATCACTAAAAAAATTGTTGAAGGTGGCCCCCTTCACTTAGTATGCATGTCGCCCATGTAGATTTACACCCTTAAATATTCGCATATCATTAAGGACCACCCTGTATGTATTATTTTAGAAGAATGAAAACAGTAGTTTTGTTAAGCGCAGCTGATATTTGAATAAGGCTCGTCAGATATCAGAAATTTTAGATTACACATCTTGTAGCTACGTCTCCCTAATCGCACGCGAGATTTTCAAAAAGTGTCACGCATCATTCATATGGGAAAAGTGATTCCGGTGGAAGTGTGTTGTAATGCCGAGGAAGTAGATAAAAAGCACGAAACAGCTATCCATGGTTGGCATTGTTTTCGCTCGGACTGACTAAAGCAGAACATGTTCATCTTATTTTGTTCAATGGCAAGTAGACCACATCTACAACACAGCGCCATCTGTCGGTCACGTGGTGACTGGGCGTCAAATTCGTGAGCTGAGATCTATACATCCCAACCAGTGTCTCGTTTCCACAGATCACACACCTTGTACAGTGGATTGGATTGATCGTACAGGATACGAGGGCGTTGATATGTAAGAGGAGCACTGCCGGATCCAGGACGGATCCCTGGGGAACACCCGCGTTGACGTTGTCGGATGAATAGAAGAACCCGTCAATTATGACGGATATCTTGCGGCTAGAATGAAAATCAGCCACCCGTCTGCATCTGGGAGGCCATTGAGGGCAGAATGCCACAGCTGATTGCATGATTTCGTGATATCAAGAGCAAACATACGATCCTCATCATAACACTGGATGAGTTTACTCCACAACTGCGGGACGTAACATTCGGATATCCAGGATAAATAATATACTCGTAGTGTCAGATTTTGATATTTTAATCAAGAAACATGTTTTACATTGATTTACCCGTTTTTTTTTTCGGAATTTTGCACTGATCCGCGCGAATACTTGCACCTTTCCTCCATGTCAGATTGGATGAGACTTGACTCGGTCCCCTCCCATCTCCATGAAACGCACTATTCACGTGTCTCATGAGTTATATCAGCTGTTCCTGCTGATATGCCAGGAATGCTGCCGACGATGCTAGAAATTTTGAAGAAGACCTAGAGTTTACTTTATTGTTCTCATCACATTTTATAGTCAGTCATATTTAAGCCTTTGTACTATACTAAGTGACATATAAATCCGAACACCCAGTTTAAATGGTTTTATTTTAATAAAAGTTGGTGAATGTATTTATCTTACTGTAAATAAAAATTTTCAGCCTTATCAGTTGGACATTCCGGTTTTTATACTGCTTTTTTTTAATTCACTAACGCTCTAAAAATGAATATTTCAGCCGCAGTAAAGAATCAACGTTGGCGGATTTTGGTTCTTGACATCCTTTACGATCGGTTACGATGCCTAGAGTACGGAGACCTGTACGATTTCGTCAACTTAGTGAGTTTGATAGGGGCCGTATAGTGGGACTTCGGGAAGCTGGACTTTCTTTTCGGGCAATTGCAGTTAGAGTGCAAAGAAGTGTAGACACTGTGGTTAGGTGTTGTCAGGCATGGCTTCGAGAAGGCCGTACGCAAAGAGCAAGGGGCACTGGACGCCGCCGTAGAACAACAGACCGTGAAGATCGCCGCCTAAGATTATTGGCCTTAAGGGACCGTTTCTCCACTACCAGGTCCATTGCAAATGAATGGTTTGCAGAACACGGAAGACCTATTGGCATGCGAAGTGTTTACCGACGAATGAGAAGTTTTGGCTTGTTTTCATACCGGCCACACTGGGTCCTCCCTTTAACTCGAGAACACCGACGTAATCGCCTTGAGTGGTGCAGACAACGGTCACTCTGGGATCAGGAATGGAACAGTATTGTCTTTAGTGACGAGTCTCGATTTTGTTTAGGCATGTACGATGGTCGTGCCAGGGTTAGAAGGCGACGTAGTGAAAGGAGGAATCCACAGTTTTTTGTTGAAAGACATGTTCATCACACTGTTGGAGTTAAGGTTTGGGGTGCTATAGCTTATGGTTCCAGGTCACCTTTAATCTTCATCAGAGGTAACATGAATGCGCAGCGTTATATCCACGAAGTTCTAGAACCCCATCTTTTACCCTATCTTGACACCCTGGCAGATCCAACTTTCCAACAAGATAATGCCCGACCACATGTTGCAAGAGTCACAATAGACTTCTTTCAACATAATGATGTCACATTGTTACCAAGGCCACCAAGATCTCCCGACGTATCCCCAATTGAGCACGTGTGGGATATGATGGGTAGGAGATTGCTCAATTTGCAACGTCCTCCTCAGACTCTAGAAGCACTTCGAGAGGAGTTGGTGGTTGCTTGGAATGAGATACCACAGGAGGACATTGACCACCTGATCAGAAGCATGCCTAGGCGCGTTGGAGAATGCGTAGCACATCAGGGTGCATCCACACATTATTAAAGGTCAAAGGGCTTTAAAGCAGTGCGATCATTTTGAAATTTTTATCATTTACTTATTATGCTTCATTAAGTACTTATACAAAATTTTATTAAAATAAAACCATTTAAACTGGGTGTTCGGATTTATATGTCACTTAGTATATTAACATCATAATAACATTGTAATAATTTTGTAACAGTACATTCTTGATTTTTTGTATTTTCGAAAATAATTTTTCTCGAGGCAACGATCTTATAACTCATGAGATTTGCTTCGCCATAATGCCACGTGCTAGATGTAGCAAAGAACGTTTCGAATATTTTAACCCAATTATTTTCAGGCAGTTGGATTTAAAGATGAATCGGTGGAAAAACGATTGATGGTAAATGCAAACAATCCGGCCCTAATCATAACATCGCTGATACTCAATCCGAAATCTAGAGGAGACTTGGAATTAAGAAGTAAGGACATATATGAGGCGCCAGTTATTCGCCCTAAATATTTGACGGACCCAGAAGAACATGATTTGAATACACATTTGGAAGCAATCAGGTATCAAAAGTACACTTCATCAATACCAGTTGAAAAAAGTAAATATTGACAAAAAATAAATAATAATAATAATAAACCGTATTTATTGATTCTTATAGACAAAATAAGAAATAAAAAATATAATACAATAATGGTAATTAGGTATATTATCTGTTAGAAATTTGTTCAAAGTACCTACTTCTCTAATTTTGCTCAATTTTTACTTCCCACGCCTACTGGTTGGAAGTATTATAATCGCGAACGCTTTCAAACATGTAATATGTTTTTTGGATGTTAGATGATATCACGAAAAACAATGTCTCATTTCCGTCGATCTTTCCGCTAATCTTATAACCGTCTATAGATTGAGAATTACAGCTCGATTTTCGATGAAGTTTTTATACAATGGTACTACTACGCCAAGGACGCAAAACCTTTGTAGTTTTTGAAAATCGGTCCAGTGGCAGCGGAGAAAAAGGCCATAGACAAAAAAAAATCGCTCAAACTTCGGTTTTCGACGTTTCTGACAATACTGATCATTTTCGGGAAATTTTATGTAGGGGTTCAAATTGGGAGTTAGGGGTTGCAGGGGGAGGATCTCAGTTCGTCGTCGGTGGTCGTATGTCACAGTCGGCAATCGCTTCCGCATTGCTGTGGGCTGTGTGCACCGTGCATGTTGATTGGTCATCGCAACGATTATGCGCGCATGCAGCTCGGGGGAGGAGGAAGGTCATTTAAAGTTTCAGAATTGTAATATCGATAGCGTTTGTGCTATGGTTTCAAGCACATAAAAAAGCCTATAAAAATGGTTATGCGCTCTCGGGCTCCATTTTCATTTGACTATTTCCGCTGGTCTACAGTATATTCAGATAAGAGATAGACCGGACATAAACAAGACCACGTGATCATCGAACGCTGTAACATTCGGCAGGGACGTATTAAGAGTCACGCAGTACATATTTTAGATAGTAGATGCTGCTTTGCGTAACTTTGTAGTAAATTAGCACAATTCGATGTGTATACGATTGGTGCTGGATATAGGATCATGTGGGGGTGGGGTAAGAAATATATAATGATGTAAATATACATAAGGGTTTCAAAATTTTCGCTTCGATTTCCAGCTTCGGATGCCGCCTGATGTTTGGTGAAATACAATATAAAACTTAGTAACTTTTTTTAAGTTTATAATATTCGACATATTTTATTATTTTATATTATATTAAAAAATTATTGAAATATCGAAAACACATAAAAACATGGCTTAAAAAAGTTCTAACAAATGAAAATGACAATAAAACATCCACGCATTTTATCGAAAGTTATAAAAGTTTTGTTAATTGTAATATGTTTTATCTGCCCCCTGGAATTAATGTTTAGAACCTTGTTCCCAAGGTTTGAAAAACATCCGATTGTTGTCTATTACTCGTATTTACCTGCTGGATTTTTTAATCCGGTGGACAGTCCATCTAGAAAGGCCCTCCTGGATGAAGTTACAGAATCATCAACCCATACTTTACTTGTAGTGTGTCCTGCATTTACCCACGTTTCATCAAGGTAATAAATCTTCCTGTTTTGATTTCTATATTTCCCAATTTTTGTTAAATAATCCCTCCTCCATAGCACAATTTCTTCTCTATCCAGTAGTAAACTATTACGACCCCGTTTTTTCCATTTGAAATTTAAATGCTTCAGTAACGCATGGAAAGTTGATCGTTTGAAATTTGGCAACGTTGTATCTCCATTTACCTCCTGCAGTACTTTATCTATAGTAGGTATTTCATTCCTAAAGAAGAATTCATGCACTTTCCTCCTAATCGCATGCTTATCAGCTTCATCCAATGATTTAACAATACTTTTGCGATGTTTACTGGTCATTGGCTCAGAAAAGGTGTGATTTTTTTTGTATTGTCTTAACACATTAAACACTGATGCGCGACACACCCCAACTTTGTGAGAAACCTTCACAACAATTTCTTTGATGGTTGATGCCTCGTTCTCCTGGCGCTCGATCTTATATATATTCAAAATGACCTCTTTCATTTCTGCACTCAGGTGTCTTTTTTTAGAGCGTTTCCTAGGTGGACTACAGGAGTTTACAACTTCATCGGCAGTATCTGTACTACTGGGCATTTTGCGCAAGCAGTTGATAACAATAACAATCAATAACAAGGTATAACAATAACAACGACAAACTCAACAACTTAATAAGATAACAAACGAAAACGTCCAAAGAAATATCAAATTGCAATGATGCACACGACATACGTAACACGTCTGAACCTGAATGTGACTCTGCCTTGATACGACTGCTCTGCCGCTCGGCATGGGCATTTAATTGCGAATTGACCAATGAGGGCTCCTGTTTTACGTCGAGACGGCGGCGTTAGCGTGAAAATCACCCGAACCTTTTGTTTACATCCGGTCTATCTCTTATCTGAATATACTGTAGAATGTTTTTAAAAAAATCCGGATTTTCAATGTTTTTGTGCAAAAACCACTGACAGAATGTTAGTCTGCGAGGATAGTCTTCTGGTAACAAGGCCTGCACTCGTTGTACATGGTAGGGTTAAAGCAAAAATCAGATAAATATTACACTTCATCAATACCAGTTGAAAAAAGTAAATATTGACAAAAAATAAATAATAATAATAATAATAATAATAAACCGTATTTATTGATTTTTATAGACAAAATAAGAAATAAAAAATATAATACAATAATGGTAATTATATTATCTGTTAGAAATGTGTTCAAAGTAGGCTGACCTACTTCTCTAATTTTGCTCAATTTTTACTTCCCACGCCTACTGGTTGGAAGTATTATAATCGCGAACGCTTTCAAACATGTCATATGTTCTTTGGATGTTAGATGATATCACGAAAAACCATGTCGCATTTCCGTCGATCTTTCCGCTAATCTTATAACCGTCTATAGATTGAGAATTACAGCTCAATTTTCGATGAAGTTTTTATACAATGGTACTACTACGCCGAGGACGCAAAACCTTTGTAGTTTTTGAAAATCGGTCCAGTGGCAGCGGAGAAAAAGGCCATAGACAAAAAAATAAAAATCGCTCAAACTTCGGTTTTCGACGTTTCTGACAATACTGATCATTTTCGGGAAATTTTATGTAGGGGTTCAAATTGGGAGTTAGGGGTTGCAGGGGGAGGATCTCAGTTCGTCGTCGGTGGTCGTATGTCACAGTCGGCAATCGCTTCCGCATTGCTGTGGGCTGTGTGCACCGTGCATGTTGATTGGTCATCGCAACGATTATGCGCGCATGCAGCTCGGGGGAGGAGGAAGGTCATTTAAAGTTTCAGAATTGTTCAGAAAAGGAAAAATAGGCTGAACTAAAAAAACTACATATACTTACAGTATATTCAGATAAGAGATAGACCGGACATAAACAAGACCACGTGATCATCGAACGCTGTAACATTCGGCAGGGACGTATTAAGAGTCACGCAGTACATATTTTAGATAGTAGATGCTGCTTTGCGTAACTTTGTAGTAAATTAGCACAATTCGATGTGTATACGATTGGTGCTGGATATAGGATCATGTGGGGGTGGGGTAAGAAATATATAATGATGTAAATATACATAAGGGTTTCAAAATTTTCGCTTCGATTTCCAGCTTCGGATGCCGCCTGATGTTTGGTGAAATACAATATAAAACTTAGTAACTTTTTTTAAGTTTATAATATTCGACATATTTTATTATTTTATATTATATTAAAAAATTATTGAAATATCGAAAACACATAAAAACATGGCTTAAAAAAGTTCTAACAAATGAAAATGACAATAAAACATCCACGCATTTTATCGAAAGTTATAAAAGTTTTGTTACTTGTAATATGTTTTATCTGCCCCCTGGAATTAATGTTTAGAACCTTGTTCCCAAGGTTTGAAAAACATCCGATTGTTGTCTATTACTCGTATTTACCTGCTGGATTTTTTAATCCGGTGGACAGTCCATCTAGAAAGGCCCTCCTGGATGAAGTTACAGAATCATCAACCCATACTTTACTTGTAGTGTGTCCTGCGTTTACCCACGTTTCATCAAGGTAATAAATCTTCCTGTTTTGATTTCTATATTTCCCAATTTCTGTTAAATAATCCCTCCTCCATAGCACAATTTCTTCTCTATCCAGTAGTAAACTATTACGACCCCGTTTTTTCCATTTGAAATTTAAATGCTTCAGTAACGCATGGAAAGTTGATCATTTGAAATTTGGCAACGTTGTATCTCCATTTACCTCCTGCAGTACTTTATCTATAGTAGGTATTTCATTCCTAAAGAAGAATTCATGCACTTTCCTCCTAATCGCATGCTTATCAGCTTCATCCAATGATTTAACAATACTTTTGCGATGTTTACTGGTCATTGGCTCAGAAAAGGTGTGATTTTTTTTGTATTGTCTTAACACATTAAACACTGATGCGCGACACACCCCAACTTTGTGAGAAACCTTCACAACAATTTCTTTGATGGTTGATGCCTCGTTCTCCTCGCGCTCGATCTTATATGTATTCAAAATGACCTCTTTCATTTCTGCACTCAGGTGTCTTTTTTTAGAGCGTTTCCTAGGTGGACTACAGGAGTTTACAACTTCATCGGCAGTATCTGTACTACTGGGCATTTTTCGCAAGCAGTTGATAACAATAACAATCAATAACAAGGTATAACAATAACAACGACAAACTCAACAACTTAATAAGATAACAAACGAAAACGTCCAAAGAAATATCAAATTGCAATGATGCACACGACATACGTAACACGTCTGAACCTGAATGTGACTCTGCCTTGATACGACTGCTCTGCCGCTCGGCATAGGCATTTAATTGCGAATTGACCAATGAGGGCTCCTGTTTTACGTCGAGACGGCGGCGTTAGCGTGAAAATCACCCGAACCTTTTGTTTACATCCGGTCTATCTCTTATCTGAATATACTGTAGAAATAAAAATAAATACATCCCTGACCATTTAAGGAATGTTAATGAACATATTACCTA